GGTAAAAATTCGGTTCAATGTGAGTCTGGGAAAATTTTGAAAGTCATTTTTGAGTTCAGCACACCAAAAACTGCAGGAAACAATTAAAAACTTAGCTTGAAATTTTTGGTCCAAAATGACCTAATATGGGATGAAAATATAGGTCTGGTGTTAAAATGGGAGTGATTTTCGTTATCAGCACTCAAAAAACTGCAAGAATCACTGTAAATATAATTTTAAAAATTTTTCCCAAAAATGGGTTAAATTTTTGGGGTCAGGGGACAATTTAGAGGTCAATATTGAGGTCAGCGCACAGAAAAATACAGGGAAACACATAAATCTCATCTTTGAAAGTTTGGCCCCAAATTGCGTAGCTCTAGATGAAAATGTAGGATTGGCATTGAAATAAATGTAGTTTTTGTGACCGGTACACTTTAAACTACACACAATACTTCCGACTCAATTTCTGTGTATTGTTTCTATTTGTCTTCATGAAGCACCCTCTGTCGTCACTAATTTCCTGATGGCACACCAAAGCGAATCTCTCAGTCGAGTAAAATTCAATTGCCACCATTCAATCGCTTTATTGGCTACTCGTATGCTTGGGTCACTATTCGATAACTATTTTTTCTTAACTTATGAACTCACAATTTTATAAGTAATTTTATGAAACATTTTGTCATTCTTTCATTGTGAACCAGTGAATAAAACAATTTGATTGGAATATGTTATCACAGTTTAATTGAGAGAATCAGTTTAGGGTAGGCTGATCTGAACCAGTTACGGGGGCCAATTATTGTCAAAACCAGGTTTCGTCACATAGAGTCCAATGCTAAGGCTACCCAAGGCTTAATGACCGACATAATTTATCTTACTCATGTAAACAATACTAAGAAGTATCAGTTATATTATCTTTGGTGAAGTTAAAGGAATAGTCTCATTAAATCCCATCACTAATTATATATATATATAGTTGGTTGTCTATGCACTAATTGACTCACCGCTCAAAACCTGAGTCGTCTCTTTGAACCCAATATCAATTCAAACTCTATTTGGATTAAATATACACAACTATACATTGATTCTATTAATAAACACATGTTAGTGCTTTTGCACTCTTGTCAGCTTGCAGCATTGCAAGAGAATGCATTTCTCGAGTCCAAACTAAGTATACCTGCTTAATTTCAACACAAGTTATTTATGCATTTCCCTGATTTCCTCTAGTTTGAAAATTTTAAAAAGGGATGATACTAAAAAGAAAAAAGAAAATGCACACAATACAAAAGGTCAAAAAAAAAACATTCTTTTTTCAATGCTTTGTCAAAATGCACCGACCTGAAGATGATTCCCCTCTGACAGTGGAGGGGGGAGAGGGGAACGAAACACGTAAATCATTCTCAAATCCATTCTCCATATTTCGCTGTGTTGGTGTTCCAAAAGGGTTTTAAAGATACTAGAATGTTGAAAAACTAAGGCCGATCTCATTTCCAAAACCTACCGCTCTTTAATTCGTTTTATTTGCTTATTTGCTTATGTTCCGTATTTGAGAGCGGCGGACCCGCATGTATGAGAAATTGGTAAGCGGCGCCGCGCTGCCAACCTAACCACGCCAATGACCTGATTCAAAAATATGATTTGAATATTTCAAACGATACAAAACAACGATTTAAAACAAACTTGTGTTGGGTGGTGCTAAGGCGACGTTAAATCCGAAATCTTGAAACTATAGCCACTGTAGTTGCTGAGAATCGTTGGTGAGTACAAACAGACTCACAGACAGAAAGACAGACGCATGACCAGTCACTTTTCAGCGCGCCCAAACACGGCAAGGGCTTCGCTATCGCTCAGCCAATAATTGAGACGGGCATGTAGGGTAAGGTGCCCAGTGATGGCCACTTTTAGCGCACAGATGCGTCTTCCAACCGTTTACGAAGTCTCTCAATCGTCGTACCGTTTGGGACATTTTCAAGAGCATGCAAGAAGGATAGAGTAAAGGTTTTCCACTTAGAAAAAGGGCAAAATTTTAAATCTGTCTTTGCAAAAAGGTAACCAAAATTTCAGTGCAGTTTGCCCAGGGTGGCCACCTTTTGCTTTGTGATGGCCTGTGCCCTGCTCGGTGATGGCTAGTTTAGGTTTTGAGGGGGAGTAGCTCTGTGCTTCCGTTTTTGACAGTAATCAGCGAGAAATAAAGTAAAAATTCCAAATCTGCGAAAGAAACGCTGCGATTACTGGTTTGATCTCAGCTCTACAAAATAAACAAATTATGTCAACGCAGCATTCGTTGCGCTGAGCCCGTGCGGCCGACGACGACAGCAACGAGACGAAATTTTTGCGGGGTTGTGTTGCTAATAGGTGAGGGGACAAAACCCCAAAAGCTCAGCTGTTTTCCTTCTCCCGCGTGGATGAAAAGTCGGCGCAAAGTCCAAAGTGGCCATCACTGGTACCATGGCCATCACTGGGCACCTTACCCTAGTAGATGTATGCTGTGTGTGGGGGGGGGGGGGGGGGGGGGCAAGCGCTCCGTGCCGCTTTGAAGAAGGTTACGAATCTACAAGACTAAGGTTTAAAATAAAGAATGATTTATTTACAATGTTACACGCGTAAAGAAAAGAAGAAATGCAGTTAAAATCCATTACAAAAAGATGAGTGTTTCAATGCAACCTTATCAGCAAATTTACAATTCACGGGAAAAAAATGTTTCAATTGTAAGCTTCCAAGTAGTTTTCGGTCACAAAATTGGCCACAACTTTTTCAGTCGCATCATTTTAATTCTTGATGTAACTGGGGGGTTCGGATTATCTCGTCAGCTGGTTTCAGGTAATGTATTGGGGGTGGGGGAAATCACAGAATCGTTAGTTTTACCTCTTAATTGGGAAGGGTTTTTTTACGTCTAAATGGTTTTATAAAACTAGACCCGTCATCAATCGTCCTGGAATTCGTTGTCTGCATCATCAGGAGGGCGGATGACACCGACACCTGCAGCACCTGCACCAGGGCACGCAGGCTTCTGCCCACCTTGATAGTAGCAACGACCCTGCCTCCAGCCAGGGCATGCCTTGTAACATTCAAGGTTTTGGCCTCCGCAGCATTCTTCGAGTCCGCTTCCCTCGCACGGTTGGTCGTGAGATTTGCACGCCTCGCGTCCTGGAATCAAAGAAACCGGCACAATAAGCAGACAGTTCCCAGGCTGTCAGTCCAAGAGTCAAGCGTGCGGCGGCTGACATTCGTGATTCGCTACGCCCGGTTATGCTTGACCTAATACACTGCAGCTGGCAACCCTAACCTTGACCTGCGGTCCTAGCTTGCGGAATAGGTTGGAGCGATAAGATGCAAACCGCAGATTGGACCGTTTTTGAAGCCTTTTTTTCCGCATGAAACCAACGGGCCAGCGGCCAGCACATTTGAGTGCTGAACACAGTGTCAAAAATAAAAATCATCCCTTGGGACGATGCGCTTTTTTGTGGAGAAAATACATAAACAAACCTGCAAACATGGTAGGTCATACCCCTCTGCATGCCTTGCTTCACACGAAATCTCGATTTCAAATGGTTTGCGCGCCAGTGGCGGATCCAGAGGCGGCGAGGGGGGAAGTCGCACTTTTTGCCTACTTACAGGGGCAAATTAGCACTTTTTGCCTACCTTTCAAGCGGATATCTAGGGTCTATTGCGGGGGGGGGGTCATTTTACGACAGCCTTGTATATCTCTCACTGCAATGACCCACAACCTTAACTTGCATCATGAAAGAAGGGCGTCCTGGAGTAGAATCTTGGTCAGCTTTTTTAGCGCCCCGCCACACGTTGCGACACTTTCCCAAGCCCCTCGGATGTTAAGCGAGACGGGGCCGTGATTATCGGTCTCTTGAATAGGGTGGATCTTAATTTCTGACCCCCCTTTTTTATTGGCGAAATGGGGTCCCTAGGATAGAAGAAGATTATTAACGAGTCGCATTTGATCCGGAAAAAATTCTGTCAGCTTTAGGGGGGGCTCAAAGTTGGGTCAAATCGTCAAAATTGGTGTTTTTTTTTTAGTTTTGCCGCCGAACGAAATGAGATATCAAAACGCCTGAGGTCTCAAAAGATGCGAAATTTAATAACCTTTCGAACGAGCTTTGAATCATTGCTGTAGCACAAATATTTCCACCTAATTCATGGCGATTTATCTAGAAATGTGGGGTCAAAAATATCAAAATCAGTCAAATTTGGTGGGGTGAAATTCAAAAATTGGCCAAATTGAGATCTCTTTACAGAAATGGATGCGTCTCGACAAGACAAACAAAATGTCAACACATACTATAGGCTAAGATGCGAAATAAACCAGTATTTTAGCCTCAAATGTGCCAGTTATTAGTAATTACTGCACATTACTGGCACATTTGAGGCTAAAATACTGGTTTATTTCGCATCTTAGCCTATAGTATGTGTTGACATTTTTTGTTTGTCTTGTCGAGACGCATCCATTTCTGTCAAGAGATCTCAATTTGGCCAATTTTAGAATGTCACCCCACCAAATTTGACTGATTTTGATATTTTTGACCCAACATTTCTAGATAAATCGCCATGATTCTGGTGGAAATATTTGTGCTACAGCAATGATTCAAAGCTCGTTGGAAAGGTAATTAAATTCCGCACCTTTTGAGACCTCAGGCGTTTTGATATCTCATTTCGTTCGGCGGCAAAACTCAGAAAACCACCAATTTTGACGATTTGACCCAACTTTGAGCCCCCCCTAAAGCTGACAGAATTTTTTCCGGATCAAATGCGACTCGTTTATAATCTTCTACTATCCTAGGGACCCCATTTCGCCAATAAAAAAGGGGGGTCAGAAATTAAGATCCACCCTACTCTTGAAGGTCCAATCTGACTAACGATACCAAACACGATTCGAAAATTCCGCGCGGAGTCCATGCGGGAAGCGGTTAAAGTTCAAAGAGCCTCGCGGCCCGGCAGGCGAACCGGATGTGGCCGTTCCCGCGCGTCCGCCATGACGATTTCCCATGATCCTCTGTAGGACGCTAGCAGACGGTGTTTGGGTGTTAGGTGGGCGTCACGGCCTAGGGAGTTGGCAAAATACTGGTTGCGGCGATTGCAAGGTATGTTTGTTAATGATTTTGGTGTCAAATTTAAATAAGGTTTTCTTATGAACAATTTGTTTAAATAAACTTCGTTCTTAACTATTGTTAACAGCATGGATTCGCTTTCCTTGGATGAAAGCTTCACATGCTCGCAGGACCCAAACCAAACGCCGAAGAAAGCACCATTATGCCAGTCAACTCCTAAGTCCAAGAGGTCATTCATATGCCAATACTGTGGCAAACAATATGTGGTCGGACATTACTATAAACTGCATGTCGAGAAGCATTTGTGTAAGTTTCAAAGTTACCTGTCTCGTACAGGTTATGTTTCGTAGCACTGTTTTGACCTCCGTTTTAAACATTTTCTTTTTGTCTCTTCAGCCGATGCAGCTGCTGGTAATGTCAGTCAGGTAGTGGCTTTAAATGACAGTGTCATTAGTGTCATCGATAATGACACTAGTCTTCAGAATGGAGGCTTTGCAGTCCCTCAAGCTCCTGCACCGTCAAAGCCAAAGAAAACTATTACTGCCAAGGTAAAACGGAAACCCAAGTACATTTGCACCTACTGTCTCAAAGGATACTTGGATCAGCGATGCTTCAAACAACATTGCAGAAATCATGCCATTCAAGGTATGCATCAGATGTTTGTCAGTAAAGTTTATTTGTGGGGTTGAAAATGTAGAAGTGAAGGGACTCATTTTGTCTCATTTTGTTCGGACAGATGCTGCTGCTCGTTTTCCTGATAAGGAGAAAATTTTAAACAAAGTGGATGATTTAGCAGATGCAGCGTTAAATGAGGTAGCTAACGCCCCTTGCTATGGTGAAGCTGGAAAAAAGTTCAAGGAGTTGATTGGCCATATTATATCTATCATGGCAAGTGATAAATGGAAAAAATTCTGTAGTCAAGTTTGTGAAGAACTGATTTGTGAAATTATCAAAAAGAAATTTGTACTGCCATCTGCAATGGTTGCATTGTTATTAAGTGATTGTGAAAATCTACTTTCCAATACAAGTTTGTGCCGCAGTTTATTGGACTTACTCGAATTACCTGAAGACTTAAAAGGGAACGTTCTCAGGTGTCAGGAGCCGATTGCTCCCATACTTCGGGATCTTAAAGACCACCTCAAAAAAGAATTTTCGCCACCCACAGTTCGTGCTGAAAGTCACTACAACACATTAAAATGGAAGTTGAAAATTGACCAATTTCCATAAAATTGACCAAAAACAAATTTTGACCAAAAAGTTTCTAAATGGTCTGAAACGCCCAAAAATACCGTCTTTTCGATTTTGGACGAAATTTTTTTTCTCTCTCTCAGATATTGAGGATTTTTTTTTTTACAATTTGGACCAAAAACTTATTTTGACCAGAAAGTTTCCAAATGGTCTGAAACTCCCAAATATACAGTTTTATTAAATTGTGGCCGATTACAGCGGTTGCTCTGTAAACTTCGAATTTCATAAAAAAGGGGCAAAGCTACATCTTTTATACTTAGTTTTATATGTATGTCCTACCTTAGTGTCAACGACTGTTTTGCGATTAATTTTCTTTCATGCGACATGAGAGTTGGACTTGGCGAATGGCTGCATAGCTCGCTGGTTTACTACAATTGAAATGCAAAGCTTTCCACTGAGCCCCTGTATTTTCCTAACCGTACATACGACACGACTAGGGGCCGTTCAAATGTGACGTAACGCTTTTTAGGCTCATTTTTTGACCCCCCCCCCCCCCCTATAGTCACAAATGTTCAGTATACCTCCCATTTCCGTGACGTCACATTGTCCAAATCATTATTTTTGGCAACGGGAATAGATACGCGACTACATCGTCTTAATTAGGTGCCTAAATTGGAATTTTCTAACAATTTGATTGCATTTTGGAAAATCCGGTTGAATCTGGTCTAACGCTAACTTGTTCAGAAAAATCTGAGGAAAGTGCAGTAAAAATACCCAAGCCGGTGACAATTTAAGCTGAAGTAGGCGGGGATTGCTCATTTCAGTTTTTTTTTGGTGGCTCACTCCATTCATATTTGGCAATTTTACACTACTTAAAAGTGTGACGTCACAATGCCTTCATCCCCCTCTCCCCCATGTCACATTTGGTCACGATTTCTCTGGACCCCTCTCCCCTTAAAAGTGTGACGTCATTTTTGAACGGCCCCCTACTTGCCCTTCATATGCATGTATGTGATCGCATGAAATGTTGTAGAAGAAGATTTAAGATTCACTTTCGCGTAATAAAGTATGTCCCGAGTTGCCTATAAAAGCTAATCGGTCAAAAATTTTAAAATAGTAAGCTTTCTAAATGGCTCTACTAGTTCCACCCACTATTCCTGTAATCGAACTACATATGAGTGCAAAAACATGACTTCAAATTATGTATAAATGACCACCCCTACCTTACCTTTACATCTAAACCCTTACGAATTTCTCATATTATCATATTAGCACTTTAGAAAGAGACAGTGATCGATTTTGAGACCAAAATCAGAACGAGAAGTCGTCTTTTCCAGGGGTGTCCGAAATTACCCCAAAACACGGGATAATTTCGGACACTGCTTCGGACCCTCCACTGTAAAAACGGTAAGGAGCAGATATTTGAAATAAGCGCCAAAACGAAGCTAAAGGTAGGTAGATGATAAATTTTAACCCTCAAGTCCTTGACAGTACTATAACTTTCACAATCTCTAAAAATCCTACCAAAAGTGTCTGAAGTTACCCCGTTTCACGGTAACATTACCTGCTGTACCCACTGAAACGTTTGTTTCCATGTGAGAATTTATTTGGGTCATTCCATGCCAATTCAACCAGAGCCAAAGCCATGATGTCACCGATTTGGACCAAAGTTGGTGGATCGCCGTCAATTAGTTTTAAGATCGATGCCCTAAAATAGTTTTGGCCAATTTCCAATACTTCCGGAGATATAGCCATACCTCACTTTTGGCTATTTTGCCAAATGTAAAAACAGTGTTTCACTTAAGTGCCAATATCTTGGCTCCTATGAGACCTAGAGTGGTGATTCTGTGCTCATTCGAAAGGAAATGAAATTTCGCATAAAATGACGTCGATTTGGTGTCGATAGATGTAAAAATAGGAAAGTTCACTCTAACGAAGAAACAGTGAACATTACAGTGCTGTTCCCACCGAACGCAATCTTCGATTTTTGAAATTTTTGTCCTGAAGGTCCATTGAGGTCCCTACTTCATTGTCTTAAAGTATCTCAAGAAGTTCTTGGGTTTTGTGGTTTTTGAAGGGGGGAAAGTAAAACAGTGCACCCGAAAAATGGTGATTTTGCAGTGAAGGACCCGAATTAAGTGACATCAAAGGCAGCCAACCCTATTCATAGACCGCCTGCTCCGTGTACAGGCAGCGACCGATATCTGAGGCCACTCCCTGATAGGTCGAGTTACTTCACGCTCGAATCCTCGGATTTTAAACATGGTGAATGTAAATTTTGACTACATCATTCGGTTTATCTTAACAGCTGTGGAAATAAGTTACCTTGTAGGCAACAGCCCGCCGCTCACCAGTTTGTTTGGGATACCCTTAGCCAACTCCTCACTGACCACACGCTGTGAACGTCAAAAAGTAGGTCGGTCCTCCCTTTCTAGAGCAGAGAGCCATGGCATTCATGTATTTTTTTTTCATGTACCTCGGTCCGCCGGTGAAGGAGGATGGCAAATACACCTTGCCGGCTGGAGCCCCACCCTCTCCCTGAATCGTTTCATCACCTGCTATGTCCTCAGCGACGTCCAGGTGGACGTCTCGCTGGACCTGGGGGGGTGGCGGGACCACTTGCGCCTGGAGTTCATTGAGTGGGGCCCCTTCATGGCGTTTTCAGCGTTCCGTTTTTGGGCAGGGGCCCTATGTAGCGGAGTCTTTTCCTCCTAAAATCTCGCGAACATCCCCAACCTCCCAGGCTTGAGAGAGGCGGCCGAGCTCCGTAAAGCGAGGCTCTGAGAGGAGGAGGCACCGGTGTAGTTAAGTTTGCGATAGCTTTGCGCCGGTTCTGTCCTGCATATTCATTTCCCAAACCCGGGGATTTCCGTGTGGGAAAAGCAGGGGGTATTGAAATGTCTCCATCAAAAGGACTGAAGACACTTTTTGAGTGGGGTACCTGTCCGCTCGCTTCCACACTGTCAATTTGCGGGAGGCGTTGTCTGCAGTCTCGCTCGTACTGAGTACGGCATGGACTTCACGGCCAGGATTGCGGTCTCCGAGGACGGGCCCGTGTGTGGCGCGTGAAGTTACCTCGAATTGGAGGCTGGCATTGATGGCGGGCTCGTCATGGAGCCGGCGGAAAGAATTGATATGCGGGTTATTGGCCAAGAGGTATGAAGTCGCCGCATTTACAATAATCGGGTTCAAGCCGCGTCCTTCAGCTAGAGCCTGCCTCTAATGACCATCATCGATGTATAACCTGCAGTGGTTGATGTACCTGTCGTGTCTGTTGTATCTGAATGATTGTCCTCGTGCTCCCAGGCTGTAAACTTTGTGGTAGAGACGGCCCTCGATCTTGAAGAAAGATATGCCGCTGGGGTGTCTGTAACCTCCTGTAACGCCCATTGCACAGAAAGCGTTCATGTCACTGTACGCTCTTGCGTGGTTGAGGAAGTCAGGGTGTTGATAGAAGTCGGCATCGAGTGGTGGCAGTTCTTAAACATTGCATTTCCCCCTACCACAGCACCAGAGGCCCCTGTGCGGTTCCTCGTCGAACACGCGTGCTCCGCAGTGAGTGCACCGGAATATGTCAGCAGCATACAGATTCGTGTTTTTCAGAGTGTGGGGAACAACATTATTAAGCTGTTCGCCGCTCCAGAAGGCCATGGGTCCGTGTGCACGAACTGCATGTCGCGTGTTTAGGGGCAAATGGAGTAGCTTTCGTGCTTCGGGGTGTGACGCTCTGTAGCATGCTTGTTGGTCTTGTCGTCTGTCGGGGTGGTTTTCGACATAGCGGGCCTGTGCCTCGCGGTGGACCTCAGGGTGTTCTTGTGAGTAACGCTGTTGCTGTTGGGAGTGGACCTCTGGGTGGGTTTGTCGAAAGCGCTGTTGCTGTTCGGAGTGCACCTCTGGGTAGGCTTGTCGAAAGCGCTGTTGCTGTTCGGAGTGCACCTCTGGGTGAGCTTGTCGAAACCGTTGTTGCGCTTCGCGGTGTACCTCTCGGTGTTCCTGCGAGTACCTTTCCTGGGCGTCACGATGTACCTGGGGCTGCTCGTGTGTGTAGTGTTGTTGCTTATCACGTAATTGTTGCCTGTGTTTTTCACGGTACCTTATTTGAGCTTGTGCAGCTTGTTCTCGGCGAGAGAGTAGAGACGTTTTTGGTCTTCCTTTTTTCGCCTTTTTTGGACGTCCCCGTTTTTTTTTGTGGAACAGTCGCCGGCTCATCAGAACGATTTGAATCTTGTTCTGTATCGTTATCAATTGGTGTCTCTGGTCGTGACGTATGCTGTCGCTTCTTTCTTTTAGCTTGGCGCAGTGCAAGTGGAGTGTCTGAGTCTGATTCGGAGGTAGAAGAACGAACTGACAAAATTTCAGTTTCATCATCTGGATGAAGAGGCGGAATCCTATCCTGAATATTCACGGTTGCAAGCCGAGTAATCAGTGGTGAGTCTGAATCTGAGTCCGCTGCATGAGATGTAGTGGTGCATGGTGTGTTTGGTCGTCTTTTGGCCCGTTTACGTGGTCGGCGTGCAGCAAGTGGAGTGTCCGAATCTGAGCCACTGTCACCGGGAGATGCAAAGCTGGTGGATGCACCGCAATGCTGCGTCAGCTTCCGTGCTTGGAGCAACGGCCAGTCTAAAACGCATTCGCACAACAGTACAGAGATGAGGAGCGTCATGTTCCGGAATAGGGTGAAGGAGCAACAAGTTTGTCAGTGCTCTCAAAGTTTCACATCTAAAAAGACGACTGCGATTGTTTGCGTCAGTGTCGTGGTCTTCTAAACCTGATTCACTGACGCCCTGAGGGTCTAAGACGAGAAAGTCGCCTTCAGATTCCCAGAAGGCGACAGTGCCTCGGGGGGTGTTGAAGAGAAATCCACTGCCGGCAGGAGTTGTTTTGAAAACGCCATTTAGTTTCTGGCGGATAAACTGTTTAGCAGCTGTTAACTCTAGTTCAGTGTGTGGGTATACATATGACGTGAGGTTGGATACTTCAGTGACTTCAACCTCAACGCGTGGATCACTGACAACAAGGCGGGGCGGCAGGTCTTTCGGTTCCGCAGCCCTTTCTGTTGGAACATTAAGTTCAGAGAACAGACCATCGCCAGCAAGCAGTATGTTATCAATTTCTGTATCAGTGATATCCCGCTTAAGAAAAGTATGAGCCAGGGCCAGAGCGCAAATGGGAACTGCTTGCCTGTCTCCATATTTAGAAAAAAAGAAAGGATCGCAGTTGTGAAAGGAACCCGATGCTTCCAAACGGATTCCGGGCGAAAAATCTGGCATTGCACCAAAGGAAGTTTGTACAAAATGTTTATTCTAGTGAACTAAAGGAAAGTCTAATAAAATTCCAGGTAGGGTAAGGTGCCCAGTGATGGCCACTTTTAGCGCACAGATGCGTCTTCCAACCGTTTACGAAGTCTCTCAATCGTCGTACCGTTTGGGACATTTTCAAGAGCATGCAAGAAGGATAGAGTAAAGGTTCTCCACTTAGAAAAGGAGCAAAATTTAACTCTGTCTTTGCAAAAAGAGTAACCAAAATTTCAGTGCAGTTTGCCCAGTGATGGCCACCTTTTGCTTTGTGATGGCCTGTGCCCTGCTCGGTGATGGCTAGTTTAGGTTTTGAGAGGGGAGTAGCTCTGTGCTTCCGTTTTTGACAGTAATCAGCGAGAAATAAAAGTAAAAATTCCAAATCTGCGAAAGAAACGCTGCGATTACTGGTTTGATCTCAGCTCTACAAAATAAACAAATTATGTCAACGCAGCATTCGTTGCGCTGAGCCCGTGCGGCCGACGACGACAGCAACGAGACGAAATTTTTGCGGTGTTGTGTTGCTAATAGGTGAGGGTACAAAACCCCAAAAGCTCAGCTGTTTACCTTCTCCCGCGTGGATGAAAAGTCGGCGCAAAGTCCAAAGTGGCCATCACTGGTACCATGGCCATCACTGGGCACCTTACCCTATGAATTTATAATCTGCTTTTTGTTGCAGGCTTTCGGAAGATAAACTGTGTCGGACACAAGAAAATAACAGGTAAAGCGGGGCAGTGAAGTGCAAGAGGAAAGACGAAGAATGTTTCAACTTGACAGCTAACAAAAGGAGGTTTAACGAAGAACCAGAGAAGACAACTGAAGGAGGTTAATCAAAAACCAAAGAAGACAATTTAAGTTCAGCAAAGGCAATCAGTGAAAGTCCAAATGCGAAACGAGAACTTTGTAGCATGGAAGAAGAAGGCTGGTGGGCGAGTTGCACATTTGTGAAAAACAATTCCGTTGATCAGGAAGGGTGAGGGGAGCCGCAGCAGAAGGGACGCGTCGCGGCGGAAAGGCCTACATTGTTGGTGCATTATACTAAAGTCAACGCGGAAAAAGCCTTACTGCGTAAAGTCGAAATGGCGAAAGATAGATTGAATATTTTCTAAATCGCGTCGTGGGATTATATGGAATTCGCCTTCGGGGATCACGAGTCGTGGGGGCCCATGGACGGTAAACTAGGATAGCGGGGCAGCGTATCTATCTGGTTGGCGTTTGTCACTGTGGTCACGAGGAGTTTGATCATGAGTATTCTGACGTCATTGCATTTTGGACTGTACGGGAGAAAATGAACAAAATGGAGCTGCAGCATGGGTTTTCAAAAGTTGTCTTTTCTCGGTATCTTGGCGGACCACATTATTCAGAATCATAGAAAAAATGAAAATGTTTCGCTTTCGGGGACCATGCCTCGTGGGGGCCCATGGACGGAGCACCGGGATAGCGGCGCAGTGTGTCCATTTGGCTGGCGTATAGCACTGTGGTCACGAGGAGTGTGATGATGATGAGTGCTATGACGTTACCACATTTAAGAATGTACGGGTGTCTTTTCTCTACGAGTGATTTTTGTCAGTGTTTTGAGGCACCATATCCTAGAGAATTATAGAAAAAATGAAAATGCTTTCGGCGACTATGCTTCGTGCTGGCCCATGGAGTTTAAAGCACGATAGCGGTGAAGCGTGTCCATCTGGTTGGCGTTCAGCACTGAGCGGATCCAGGCCGAATCGGACCGACTTTACCCCGACCCCTTCCGATTTGGCCCCCAATTTTTTTTCTTACTCGCCTTGGTCCCAAAAATCCCTAAAATAAATTTGGTGCAAAAATATTGAGTTTTGGCGAAGTTGTGGGGGTCTCGAGTTTTTGACCTTTTTCAAAATATAGAAAAGGCTGAAAAAACGAAATTTTATTTTTTTCCCAGAAAATGCAAGTTGGGGTGGCTTTGCTGGTTGTAATCAATGAGAACAAGGTAGAAGATCATGATTTGGGCAAAATCTGCCCACTGTGAGCCCCCTACCCACTTTGATGAACACACAAACTGTCAATTTGGAAGTTTTACTTAAAAATGCAAATATCTGACCTTGCCCCAACTTTTAAAATCCACCACTATGCATTAAAAATTGCCTTAAGGCACTACTAACAAGCTAGGGCCCGCCCTTCCGTCGAACCGAGTTGCCAGCTCCGCTTCGCTGCGCCGGCAACTCGGTTCGACAGGGGGCCGGCCCAGCTTGGCCTGCCGGCGGCCTTTCCTCGGGCCTTCGGCCCTCGCGTCAGACCCAACTTGGCCAGTCGAAGGCCCGGGCCTTCGGCCCGCTCGCATCACACACCCCGTGAGCGGGTAAAGCAAAGTTATCGATGTACCATCGTGACTTAGGCCCACCCTTCTATTCACAATATGCAAAAGTCCTTACACTTTTTACTCCAACTGTCCTTAGAATATGCCCATTTCATTTGTCTCTTAGCCCTCATTCCGAAAATACCCATATTTGCCATGCTACTGCAACTCCTTCCAATAGAGGCACAGCAGGGGCGCCAAACGAGTCCGTCGCTCTTTTTCCCATAACTCATGAAGGCGGGCTCCTGGACCCCCCTTCCGACCCCTCGTTGAAGAGGTCTTGGCAAGACCCATCGAAAACTTAAATAAAAATTTTCAGTCGGTTGACCCCCTTTTTTCAAGATCCTGATGTGACTAATAGACGAAGTCGGGCTCCTGGACCCCCTTTCCGACCCCTCGTTGAAAAGGTCTTGCTGAGACCAATCGAAATCTGCAATAAATTTTTTCAGTCGGTCGACCCCCTTTTTCGAAGATCCTGATCTGGCCAACTTGTAAAAGCGGCCGATGGGGGTCGGGACCAGGTCCATTCATCTTGTCTCGTCGCCTTGATTCCAAAAATACCCCTATGTGCCCTGCTAGCACCAATAATGGCGGAAATCCCCCTCCCGCTCATGTAAACCATGATGCACCTGCAGCAGCCCTTGTGCGACCCAGACGGGATTTGCACCACCGGATTATTTGTTTGGACGGTACTCCTGAAGTACCCTCCAAATCTGGTTACTCTAGCCCAACTCTTTCCTTGTACACAGACGCCAACGACAACAACGACAACAACAACAACAACAACAACACACAGACACAAAGGCAAATGCATAGGCCCCCCCACTATTTTTTGAATAGAAGGGCGGGCCAAAAAGAACGACAAAAATCTGAGGCGGTGAAGTAAAAATTTCTCCAAGCGTTCCAGAAAGCGTAAACTCAACATTGGACTTTTTCGCAAACTTTTCCACTTTTCAGCAAATAAGTGTTCCTTTGTCATCAAATATGATCAATATAGATGTCATACGGGTCTGAGGACGAATAAGACACACAAACTCATAATGTCCCACAGTTACCTGAGAGGAGTGCAAATAAACATTATTGTTTGTAAACAATGAAACAGTGAATACCCTGTCTGAAGGCGAGGGGTGGGGGTTGGTTTAGAGTGGGGAGGTTCGGACGACGGTTGCGTTTCTTGTGTGGGCCAATGTTTACAGGCTTTGCCTCCCTCATCCTTTCAGTATGAAGCAATTCGCAAGTGAGCATTTCTTGAATGTACACACTAAGTTACTGTGTGGTTTTTCATACATAATAGCGAATAAGTTTCTGCGTTCCTTTTGCACAAAGTTGTGCATGTGCTTCAATGCACAAAAGCCTGGCAAGCTTATGTACAAAATATAGCTTACATTTCAAGTGCATAAAATTATACACTTGAAGCGCACAAAATTGAATGTCATCTTGTGCATGTTTTAACTTATTGATCAATGTGCAAACTAAAGAATATTCTCATGTTGTAAATTAAAGCTTATATCAGTTTAATAGCTTCACAAAAGGAAGCAAGAGGCGATCATAAGATAACGGTAGCTGCTCTGAATCTTGAATCAGTTCTGTTCTTTGCATCTTGTTTAGATGGCTTTCAATATTTTTACCTACGTTACCAAAATTTTGTTTCAATCAGGTATGCGCTTTACTATTTAACTCATCAAATTTCCTGAACAATGAAAGACAAATTTAATTGTTTCTCTTTTTCAGTGCAAAAGCAGATCACAATAGGTAGGGGAAACAACATTTCATTACAAGAAATTGTGATTTGATGTGTTAAAGCAGCTCATCTCAACTTAATCTCATAAACGACTGACTGGTTTGTGTTGGAAAGGTTGAAGTCATCCGATGTTGAGAGCTGAAGTTCTTTTGTTTTTATAATTGCTTCCTCACTGAACGTAGAGGCTCAAAACTTCTTTGAGACTCAGGAGTGATTTATTTTTACTAAGTATCTGAAAATGTTTCAATATATTCAAAAATTTTTTTTTATTTTGTTAAAATGAATAAGTCTTACGTCTCTAACAAGTGTCGAGCCTTTACGGTCAGTGAGAAAGCAACTTTTAAAAGAAAAGGAATGGTGGCTGGGAACATCAGATGACACTCGCACACACACTTCAGTCAACCTTTTATACAGATTGAGCTGATAATAGCTGATTTAGCTGATAATACCCCAGCCTATGATGGTTTTACCTATGGCCTTACTAATGAAATGAGAAAACTCACTGTGGAGAAGTTCACATAACATCTATTTTGATCATATTTGATGACAAAGGAACACTATTTGCTGAAAAGTGGAAAAGTTTGCGAAAAAGTCCAATGTTGAGTTTACGCTTTCTGGAACGCTTGGAGAAATTTTTACTTCACCGCCTCAGATTTTTGTCGTTCTTTTTAGTAGTGCCCTAAGGCAATTTTTAATGCATAGTGGTGGATTTTAAAAGTTGGGGCAAGGTCAGATACTTGCATTTTTAAGTAAAACTTCCAAATTGACAGTTTGTGTGTTCATCAAAGTGGGTAGGGGGCTCACAGTGGGCAGATTTTGCCCAAATCATGATCTTCTACCTTGTTCTCATTGATTACAACCAGCAAAGCCACCCCAACTTGCATTTTCTGGGAAAAAATAAAATTTCGTTTTTTCAGCCTTTTCTATATTTTGAAAAAGGTCAAAAACTCGAGACCCCCACAACCCCGCCAAAACTCAATATTTTTGTACCAAATTTTTTTTGGGGACTTTTGGGACCAAGGCGAGTAAGAAAAAAAATTGGGGGCCAAATCGGAAGGGGTCGGGGTAAAGTCGGTCCGATTCGGCCTGGATCCGCTCACTGTGGTCACATGTGACGACGAATGGTTTGTCTTTCGTGGGTGTTTTGACGAACTATATTCTGGAAAGTACCAGAAAAAAATGCAAATGATTCTGTTTTGGCATCTCTTTGACCACTCTCTGCATTTTCAGGGTTGAGACCGTCATTGGTTTGAGCCAAGCCTGCATTATGGTTATGTACAAATATTTACAGGATTCAAATGTACAACCATTTGACATTCCAGAAGCCAGTGGTCACCCTGGAGCAATCCCACGTCACGGAGGTGACCAATCCACATCAAGCCAGTGATGATTTCTGGTTGTTATATGACAAATATGATTAACTCGCGCTGCTCGCTGGGGGCTCCGCCCCCAGACCCCCGCATCTGAGGGGCGCGTGCCGAGTATTTTCAGTACGTCCAAGGTGACCAACGGCAAATTTTCCAAGGAAGTAAATGTACTGCTTCTTTGGAAGGTCTTTTTAACAACTTTTTACCATATAATTAAGCTACTTTTACTGCCCAAATAGATAGCTTTTATTGCATTGGCTACTGTGGCAGTCAATGGGTGCACACAAGGTCCGGAAAATATTGAAGACTGCTTTGACAAGGATAGAGGTGAATGGAAAAAACCGAAAGTCTCTACGACCACCCCTTGTTC